TAGTCCCAGCTACCCGGGAGGCTGAGGCAGAAGGATCGCTCGAGCCCAGGAGTTTGAGGTTGCTGTGAGCTAGGCTGACGCCACGGCACTCACTCTAGCCTGGGCAACAAAGCGAGACTCTGTCTCAAAAAAAAAAAAAAAAAAAAATTTCCTGTCATGTTAACTACCAAAGAACAGATTTCCAAAGTCTCTCAAACGTGTGACACAATCATTTCCATTTGTTAAACTATGTTTTTTGGATGATATGTGCTTTTTAATTCAAAATTGAACAAAGTATATTCTTGACCATAACTAAGTATATTCTAAGGCATTGAATTAATACAATATGTTTTCATTTTTATGTTAATTGTTGAAAGTTACAATTAATTATAAATTACTCTAAAGAGTGCTTTGTACAAGTTAGAAATTGTCTAGTAGAACAAACAAAATCCATTTACTAAGTTCCATCCATATACTTCCATATGCTCAAAGCCATCTAGATGATTTGTTATTCTCACTTTGCTAAAGAGTAAAAGAGTGTGTAATCTGAGGCATACACTGTTCATTCTGTCTTCTTGTATGTCTCCATGCTTTTTCTCATATGTTTGCCTTTGCCTGGAATGTTCCATCTATTGTCAACCTTTTTTCTTTCTAATTTTTCTTGTAAAGTCCTCCTTATGCTCCAGAGACAGTATAAAATGTTAGTTCTTCTATAGCAATCTCTAACTCCTCCTTATCATAGTACCCATAGCACTTTGTAAGGACCATAGATACAGCACTTATCAAATAATTTTTTTGGTATTTATTTTTCTCTTCCACAAGACCGAGTTCACTAAAGTCCATGTCATTAATTTCTGCATCTAACCATATATCTGACATAGGAGAGCTTTTCAATAGTTGATTGTTGAATTAGGTTGAATCCATTCAATAAGACAGACATCACCTCAGTGCAAGAATTAGGCAAATACACAAATAACCCAGTGTGTTACTGAAGAACCATTAAGCTTAACAGTATTATGAGCTAAATGCCCTCATATGTTGTTGTTATGTAATTCAAACGAACAAAAACTAAGAATCTTTAAGATAAGGACTAGGTATATACTTAAGCCTTTGTAAACTAATTTTTTATTTAAAAAATTAATACTAATTATATTTTTCATGTTAATTTAAAATTTAGTTTTTGATAAGTCACAAACCCAAACTGTAGAATTTTTTATTCAGGATGATAGGTTTCTCTAATAATCTGCAATAGATTTCTTATATTATAGCCTGATATGGTTTGGATATGCATCAATTTTACATATTACATCTTAGAACATTATTTTCTCCCCATTACTGATGCTGTGGAAAGGTGACTCCTTATCTCTAAAAGATCTTTCTCAGCCTCTGCTTTGTAGGGATTTGAGCATTACCCCACCTTGTACAGGCCTGTGTAGCCAGCATAACCTCTTTTGGCAGCTCCTGGACAGAGCCCTGGATCTTTCACAGAGAAGGATGCAGTGAGCAGGGGCTCTAGTGGGGGACATCTTTATATGCCCAGCTCATGTTATGCATGGCTTATAGTAGGTTAGCATTTAATAAGAGTTTCTTTAATCTTGCTTGATTAAAATGACAAAAGATATTTTAATCAAAATTATTAAAAATACTTAAATAATAAGATACTTTATAAAAATACCTTACAATAGCTATTGGCTATACCTTACAGTACTATTGTCTCTTTTTAAATCTCTCTTAGAAACTGTGTGGTAGCTTTAGTTTTATTTTTTGATTACTAGAAATACCATCAGAGAAGGCACAGAGGTCTCAAAAGGGCCTCTTTCAAGTATAAGTGGAGAAATTAGAAAAAACATCAAAGACAAAGAAAGACTTTTAAGAGGGAAAGGAAAAATTGATATACCTAACTTCAGAAGCTTCCCCAAAAGCAGGACTGGGGAAAAAAAAGAGTGGAGACCAGACCTTGCTGATGGCATCCTTCATTTCCTCAGCTGCCTTTTCTCATTCCCTAATGCCAAGAGCTTTTGTGGAGAGACTAACCTTCATGGGGGAAGTTATATTTGTTGTTGTACTCATCTCCATGTTGAGGCAGGCTTAGAAGTAATGCCTGTCAAAGTTTCCTGTCAAAATGTGTTGAACTGTGTTTCCAAGCTAACTGAGGTTATACTTCATTTTAATTTTAGTTTTGAAAATTGACTAATGTTTCTAGCACTACCAAGAAAAATTGAGATGTTACCATAGGAGAATTGTCATTGAAATGGCATTTGTGATAGGATTTGACCTTTCCAAAAAAAAAAAAAAAAAATAGATCCCACTCCTCTTGGCTTCCTACTATACTTTGTGTGTTTAATTTGTTTTATTAACATGATCATTATTTGTTGTGATTGTGAGGCAAAAGCCACAGGACCAAGACCCCACCCCACAGGGGAGCCATTCTTACTAAAGAGATGGCTCAGTTCTGAAGGGAACATTGGCAGAATGGGCCCCCAGTGGGTGGGAGGCAACTTCCTTTCTCATGGTCTGCTCGTGGCTAGTAATATCTTTCTAGGGGCCATTGCTAATAATGGGTAATAAAGATAACACATAGCCATAGAAAGGCAGATTTGGACACATATAAAGATGTCCATTTGCTTACTTCTGAGGAAAATATTTGGAATGACATAGATTATATTTCTCAGCAAGCAGAGCAATAAGTTTGTTGATCATGATTGTGTTATGCATGCTCAGACATGGGCAGGAATTATATGGACTTCACTTTTATAATGCATTTTAAATTGATGATCATATGTTTTGAATTCTATTTTTGGTGTATTCTCTACAAAAATCTTTTTAGAGCATTTGATGAATATTAGCTTCTAAATTGCTTCAAAATATTCATTTATTGGTTACTTAATAATGAAAATATCAACAGCAATCTGAGTTCTTTTATATTAATATAAACATTTTGTTTTTGTCATTAAGATGAGCTGTATTTTATTTTTGAAAAATGATCATTACTCTACTCATAGATTATTATCACTAGCCATCCATGCTACTGTTCAACTTGTTTAATTTCTTCAACCATAACAATTGTGTAGTTTTTATATTTGAATAATTTTGCTCATAGATTGTGTTATCCTTGGCTAAAGGCTTTTCTCTTTAGTAAATGCTTTTGACTGTCTGGCCTTTATAGCATCAATTTCATTTTTAAATGTCCGTGGAGACATGCTTGACTGCTTATAAATTTTCTAGTATAGTTCTGTAAGAATTCTTCACTTTCCAAGGACCATATGTATCCGTCTTGGTTCCCAACAGTTTATAACTGCCAGAGTAATTTAAAAGGCATTTTTCCTTTGCAACTTAATTTAAAGTAAAACACATTTTGTCAGAGAAAGTGATGTAGGAAATGGCATGGATCAAGCAGCCATAGAATGCCAGCAACATCAAAGCCAGGTTGGGGCATGCGGAAAGCACTGCACTGGTAATCTGCTGGTGTGGCCTGAGTTCTAGCCATGCCCAAACAAAGGGCGAGGCCTTTCCTAGTCACTGCTTGTTTCTTGACTTAAGTTTCTTTACATGGAAAATGAGGTATTGGTCTAATGATGCCCCAAGGTAAGTCATTGATTCTAGATTTTAACATTAGTAAGTTCAACATGAACATTGTCAACTCAGTCTTAATAATCCTCTCTGTATCAGAGCACATTTTGGGATTGCATTCTGAAAAGAACCAGAGAAACTAGGCTATGCTACAAGTTTTAACTGTAAAATCTTAGTGGCATAAAACGAGTTCATTTCATGCTTAATGGTACACATTCAGTCTGGGTTGGGTAGAGGAGTTCTGCTCATTACAGTCAGTCAGGGACCTGGACTGATGGAGCAGCTTCCATTTCAAATGCTGCTGATAATGTCAGAGGGGAAGAGAAGTGTGGCAGACAGAAATACAGGCAGTCCCAGGTTATGAATGAAATACAGTCTGTCTTTAGGTTAGATTTGTATGTAACTCTGATTCCAGATGAACAGCACATACACAGTCATAATAACAAAAACACTATATAATGGCTTATCTGTAGTAATAATATAGTGTAATACTGTAATAATAATGATGATGTCCCTGTACTGTAATAACAAGTTACAGAAACTATTGTGCTCTTTAATTCAAACAGAACATTAAAAAAAAAAAACTCATACAAAAAGTTTAGATGCGTGATAGGAGAAACTTCAAAAATTCTCCTAATATTGCATCAATGTCTTGCTCACTGGAAGGGGCATTTTTGAGGCAAGAAGGTAGGCTGACAATAATTGGAAGATGATGATGGAGATGGTGCTGGACAATTAGGAATTGATGCTGTTACTGGAGGCGAGAGGAGCTTCCCACTGAAGTCAGTTTCTTGAAAAAGGTATCTAGGGTTGTTTGCACAGCCTTTTCATTATAAATGGCCTTGTAGCAGCTGATGTTCTCACTAACTGCTTGGTAGACTTTTGTAAACCGCTCAATGTTAGGATCTTGCTCCTCAAGTTTAGCAAATCCTGCTCCAGTGAGTCAAAAAGTTTCTTTTCATCTTTAATTCTTTTTTCATAGGCTTTCTTGGCTCTGGATCTTCTGATTCTTCATGTTCTTGTGGTTCCATCAGTTGCTTCTCTGTCTGTGAGACTAGCCACTAGTGTAAAGATGCTTTGCCAATGAGCCGTTTATACCAGGTGGGTTTGTTTACATACACGGAAGAAATTAGCTCCCAAACTGTTAATTTAATTATTTAATTATAAATTATCTGTATGGGGAGCATTGGGAGCCTGTTGGAAAGTACGGAACACTGTAAGTTGGGTCTTCTGTAACCCAGGGACTGCCTGTATATAATTCACTGGCTCCAAAAGCTTTTTACCTGCAAGTGAGTTCATAACTTATGCTTACATTTCATTGCTGCAGCAAGTGACCCTCACTGATTCAGGGGAGTGTGGTCTTGCCAGGGCCAGCAGGGGAACTGGGACTACATGGGATTGGCAGTGGGATCAACACCACACATTACAGAGGGCTTCTGACCAAAGCCAACTTGAGGAGAGGGTTTTTATTGATAGCTAATAGACCTTTGCTGGGCACACTTCCATGTTGTTCACAATGACAATGATAGCTGGTGTCAAAGCTGCAAGGGATAGGCAAAAGGCATTACATGGAAAGGAGAGAAGTGCATGGGATTGATGAAGGGATTAGAAGAGTAGTAGTGGTGAACCAAATAATCATTTCAGTAGGATGTCAAATGGCCTAGTGTTAATGACCAATTTTTAGGACAAGGTAATAATGAAAATTTGGGGGAAAAGAAAAGATTAATATGGAGTCAATCCTCTCATGTTAGTCTTTCTTACAGCTGTCCACTTCAGAAGTCTGTTACTTCTCATCCTTCATGACTTAATTCAAATATTATTTGTTTACATGCATTTTTTCCTACTCAAATATGAATTCCTCCAGAACAAGGGGCCATTTTTGTATCCTCTGTGCCTAGCACGTAGTTTACAGGCACTACGTAAATATTGAATGATTGAATTGAAACCAGCTGGCAACCTTCTCCCACTGTGCCCTTCTGACTGCAGTCCCCTGGTTGGTTCAGTGTTTCACTGGGCCAGGGCCGGGCATGGGATTGGTGCTGGTAGAAGCAACTAAGTCAGGATGGATGGCATTTCTGAGACTTCTGGATGCCACTTTAATTTTGGTGGAGCCAAGTAGGAGGGGTAATAATATTGCATTTTGAGATCTGAAAGGTGAAAAGAGAAAAGTAATTTGTACCTAAAATATAAGTTTTGTTCTGTATGTTTTAGTTTCATTCTTTTGAATTAGTATATATTGAGTGTCTTAGAATGAAGAATACCTAAATTAGTATAATCTAATCATTTAAAGAGTTTTATAACCCATTGACATTCTTCACATTTTTTTAATTATGGAATTGCTGAACATAATTAGATAATTTAAGTTTTCATCCTTGTGATGTAGAACAATGGTTCTCAAACTTGAGTGTGATCAGAGTTGCCAGGGCTGGGGGTTGGGGGGAGGCTTGCTGACTCACAGACTGCAAGGTCCCACACATACAGTTTGTTTCAGTACATCTGAGGTGGGGCCTTGTAGTATTCTTAGAGTTTTAGATAACTTTATGGCTTACCCTTAATGTTTTAAATTTATACTTAATAGTAAGTGTAGAAATTAATATTGAATGTGAAGTATTAACATTTTTAGTCTAAGTGCTTTAATAGCTAAATAATTAAGATTACATAAAAATTATAATTTAATAGTCACAATTATTATCACTTATATAAAAATATGAATTGTATAGGTCAGAGCAAGTTATATGGTAAATAAAAATTATTTTTTGACAATAAAATTGAGAGTTTTAAACTTACCTTAGGGCAGAGACTATATCTGGATAATAAATTGAGCTCTAGACATTGAAGTGTTATTATATATACTATCTATCATTATGATTAATATAGCATTATTATATAAAAGCCTTACTGAAACTGTAATAGCATTTTATTATGTATTATTTTCAACCAGTGAATACTAAAAAGCTTGTTACTACCGTATGGGTTCTATTTAGATTCTTGGCATTCAAAAAGGAATTTTGATACTCGAATACTGGGAATCTTGCCCTAGTGGGAAACCTGCGGCCTTGGGGCCATATGTGGCCTTCTGGATCCTTGAATGTCGCCTTTTGACTGAATCCAAGTTTTACAGAACAAATCCTTTTAATAAAGGGATTTTTTCTGTGAAGTTTGGATTTGGTCCAGGGGTTACACTTGGGAATCTGGATAGCCACATGTGGCCTTGAGGCCCCAGGTTCCCCACCTGAAAAGGTTTGTTACTTACATATTTCTTACCCTTTTGGATAGAAAGCAAGGATCAAAAGCTAAGAATATTAGGTAGTTTAAGATGTGGGCATACTCCACCACTCCCTTAATAGGTAGATACACTTTAGCCTTAGATGATGTCTTTTTGCTGCCTCATTTTCCTTTTTACCTGGCCATCTCCTCCTTAAAACCACTGATCATGTTGGTTCACATATTCTTGTTGGAAAGTATAGCCAATCCCCCCAACAATCTTTCCTCCTTTTCTTTTTCCTTGCTTTCTTGCTTGCTTGCTTTTTTTTTTTTTTTAAGAGACCAGAGGATCACTCTGTTGGGCAGGCTAGAGAACAGTGGCCCAATCATAACTCACAGTAGCCTCAAACTCCTGAGCTCAAGCCATCATCCCTCCTCAGCCTCCCAAATAGTTGGAACTACAGGCATGTACCAACATGCCTGGCTAATTTGTTTTCATTATTTTTTGCAGAGGCAGGATCTCACTATGTTGCTAAGGCTGGTCTTAAACTCGTGGCCTCAAATGATTCTCCTGCTTTTGCGTCCCAAAGTGCTGGGTATTACAGATGTGAGCAATCATGCTTGACAACCCTTCTATTCTCTTAAAGACACATTTTATTGTTCCTAATGTACCAATGGAAAAATAAGTGTCAAAATTTGCCCTCAAATTTTTGAAAAATTATAGTGTAGGGGAACTCTAAACCACACACTCTGTACCACAAATTTCCCACAATTAAATCAGTATGAATTAGCATTGAAATGAATCAGTTGAATAGATTAGAGATCCAGGTATATATGAAGATCTGATATGAAGCTGGCAAAAATCAGTTCAGAAAAGGTGGTTTATTCAGTAAATGTCGTTGACATAACTAATTGTATATCTGGAAAAATAATTATAGAATGCCTTTTTGCAGTGTATATAAAAGTTAATTTCAGATGAATTATTGTTCTTATTCTGTTTTACTCCAAAACTACTAAGCTACATTTTAAGCGTTAATAGGTAATGTCAGATTATATTCCATAAAGAAATGAGGAAACATTTTCTTTTGCTAATATTTGGTGGTTTTCATTTTATTTTACTTTTTGTCATTATAAACAATGCTGAAGTGAATATCCTTAGGTCTACATTGATAAAGGGGCCCATGATTATTTTCTTTTAAACAAATTCCTAGAAATGAAATACCTGTGTTTAAGGGTACTTAGGCTTTTGAAACAAACTTCCAAATTGCTTTTCCGAATAGCTGTGCCAATTTATTGGCTTGATTCTTTTGTTGTATTTAATATCTCACTGTTTTTCTCTTCAGAGTAGACTATATTTTATTATAGAAAAGCATTATACTCTCATCTTCCTGTTATACTGGCACGTTTTTAATTAACTTAGTGCTCCCTGAGAAATGTGGAGAAGTTGATATTTTGCATCATTTTTATCATGTGTTACAGATTAATATATTAATAAACTCATGAAGAAAATACCACTTCTTTGAGCCAAAATATCTCCTCCTCTAGCATTCATTAGAGACATCCAGCCCCATAGAATAACAACAATAGGGTTTTACCTTCCATAGTGTCAATATGTCATCTGTGTTAGAGTTGAGGTCCCCTCTGCCTGTCAGGAAGTTGTGTCTCTGGGTAGAGCTTGCTCTTACATGGCTTCTGCCAAACTCCATTATCTATTCAGTATAGGTACAATGTATTTCCAAACTGTATAAAAAACGTGCTGCATGAAGGCTTATTCCTATCTTTAATTATCTTTCATTATCTTTCATGCATATGGTTCTTTTTGATAGAATCTAGAATTTACTGAATTCATTCTGAAAGCTGTGAAGTATGATCTCAATGAGTTCTAGTCTTCCTGTGATGGTGCATTCTTTTTGTGGAATGAGCCATGGGATTGGCACATTATTATTTTTTCCACATACTTTTTGTACCTTCCTCTGTAACCAATATATGATGATGTTGAAGTGATAACATCTTACCAATTATTTGATATATATTGTCCTTTTACTTAAAATCTTTAAATAATTTAACATGCTAAATATTATCCTTTGTGCCAAAAGAAAGTAAAAGTAAGTTCTTATGTTAGAGCAGGGAGTTTTATGGCTTACAGTATTCAGAGTGAAATAGGATAGAGATGTGTGATCAATCACTGTACACCCCAGACTGAATTTAGTGTCTGCATTCTGGGATCAGAGTTACCTGGTCTCTGTGCAGTATGTGTCTTGTTTTTTGTTGTTGTTGTTGTTTTTTTACTTTTTAGCATAGACTTAGACTGTTAAACTATTAAAAAGCTCAAAATTATCACAGGAATTAAGTTAGCCCTGGTTAATAACACTGTTGATCTTTCTGTAAATGGTGTTATTAATGCACATATAGGCACTGTCCGTCACCATTTTCCTTCTACTTACTGCAAACCACCTAATACGTAAACAGAGAGCTGAATCGTAAGTTGTTTTTCTTATGTGTAGGCCAACTCTTTCCTCAAGCCAAAATTTAGCCAAAAAGGAAAAAAAAATCCCATTTTGGTGCATGTAACACTAAAATAAAACTATGCAGCTTCATTTATAGTTTTCTTTAATCTGCATCTTAAAAATACATTTTAGGCCTATAATATGTTAAACATTAGCACAGTTATCACAATAATAATGATATTCGTAAAGCCAATGTGAACTTGTGGCTTTATATATAAATATATATACACACACATATGCATGCATACATACATATCTCGACATATTTATGCATATTTATCAATGTGTGTATCTCATGTGTATCCTATATTTACACATATATATTAATACAGCATAGATTACAAATGATTATTAAAGAGGCTGCAATTTAGGAACCTTGTGATCAAAAAAATCCCATATTTCTGTGCCTGGAATTAGCCTTTGTATTTTATTAATAGTTATTTGCATTTTCTTCCCTTTTCTAAATGTAGTCTTCAAATGAATCAATATACTCCAAATCAGCATAATACAGCAAGAGTAAGAATGATGAGTACTATACAAGTTGGCAGGGATTCAGTCGAAACAGTTCTGATGACTACTTGGTTAAAGCATGTACCTCATGTTCCCTTTACCTTCAGCCTCTTCTTAGTTCAGCAGGGCCCTTGCTGTTATCCCTTCGCTGATTGCGTTGGAATTTGTGCTCTGGAATACTTCTTTGTCATATATTTAGTTCTTCTCTATCCTTAATACTTGATGAATGGCTGCTAAAAGTGAACTTTAGGACATGTAGAACAAGTCAGGAAGTCTCTTGTGTTGATTATATCCACTTGATCAGAAATTTTCTTACAGTCATTACAAAGTAAAATTTGAATGTTTTGTATGATATTAATATTGTTATTACTATGATAAGTGTTTTAAAAAGAAAAAAATTTCTTTTAAGAACACATATTTCATCCTATTTTCATGTTTTGATACTTCTAGGTAATGTATTATTAAAGGTAAGAGATTTATAATTTGGTACAGTACTGTTGTGGAGCCTAGGTGAAATTAGTGTATTAGCTTAGTTTAAGCGTTCTTATGATTTTTGATTTTTAAAAGAAATGAAGGTTTAAGTAGATTGTAAACTCAACTAGCTTTTAATAATCTTTTTTTAAAAGAGGGTAGGAAAAAGAATAACCTATTTAAAGACCTAACCTACCTTTTTAAATCATGCACTCTATTTTTTTTGTTTTTTAAATCTTTTGCCTCTTTCTTCTTTTTTTTTTTATTTCGACATATGATGGGGGTACAGATTTTAAGGTTTCAATAAATGTCCTTTCCCCCCTCCCCCCACAAGTCTGAGTCTCCAGCATGACCATCCCCCAGATGGTGCACATCTCACTCATCTTTTGTATTTTGTTTATTATAGCAGTTGTTTGCCAGGAATTACAACCTAGCCAAAAAAACAAAACAAAACAAAACAAAAAACCAGAAACATATACACTGTGTTTATAATGCAATATTTATTAATATAGGTCATATTACATTGATATATCAGTACCTGATGGGGATGTGAATTATTTAAAATGAGCATCCTTGTACTATTTTATGGTATCTGAAATAAAATGAATTTTTAATGTTCATATGTAATGCGATTTGCCAAGATTATCTTGGTAAGGTTTTTAAATTCAAATGGAGAATCAGCAATATTTCTTCCTCATTTCACAGGTAGAGCAAACTTAAATTTGGACACAACCTTTAAAATGGGCTAATTATGTATATGTTTATAAACCATCATATTAATTTGTAAGTCAGTCAAACTTCAAGCTCACTCTTTGAGGTTTTGTTTTTTTAGAATTAAAAGTATCCAAAAATAAAACCATGAACATCAATTTAGCTGACGTCAGTTTCCCCTGTAAAGTTTTTTGTTTTGTTTGTTTGTTCTTTTCTGACAAGGTCTTGCTCTGTTACCTGGGCTAGAGGGCAGTGACATCATCATAGCTCACTGCAACCTCAAACTCTCAGGCTTAAGTGATTCTCCTGCTTCAGCCTCCCACATAGCTGGGACTATAAGCACACGCCACCACACCTGAATCATTCTTCTATGTTTTGCAGAGACAAGGTCTTGCTTTTGCTCAGGCTGGTCTTGAACTCCTGGCCTGAAGCAGTCCTCCCAGCGCAGCCTTCCAAAGTGCTAGGATCACCAGCACAAGCCACTGCACCCAGCCAAAAGTTTTTCTTAAGGGAATGGTTTGGACTTAAAAATTGTGAATCATGTTATCAAGCTTTTAAAAACTCTTAATTAAGTACTAATCTTAAAGTCTAAGTCATTTGGATTGCAGTGTGATACAGCCCCTAAATGTGCTGCTGTCACAGCTTCTAACCATGATTCTTTTGGACCCTCTGGTTATTGACAGTTGAAGTCCCAGGCTCTCAGGAGATGTTTGCTGATTATATTCTCACTTTGCCACTCTATTTGCCAGAGGCTACTAGATTTTCACCTCTTTTCCCATCACATCCAGACTAACAGAGTCTGAAAGGAAGACAGAGTTTGCTAATATGTTTATGATACATATTTTTTCAGGGAAGTGATTATTTTCATTTTCCTGGACAATGTTTTAGAGTGCTTCCTTCTGTTGATTTGATTCTAAGTAATGTTTCAGAGCTGGACTGACCACAGAGTAAGATCTTACCTTATTCATGGCTGTGAATCACATTGAGCCATTTGTCTTAGCTGTCATGCAATTTGCTAATTAGGTCATTCTAGGGGTTAAGGGAAATAAAATACTTTGAAATAATCATTACATTTTCAGGACAAAGCAGCAGCAGTTAAATGCTTTTGCCTAGTCATTTTATTCTGATGTTTCATAAACCCAAAAATGGAAGATAAGTTAGGATGTTATTGTTACATTCATTATCTTTCTCACTGTATCTGAAGATTGTGTAGAAGATATTTAAATAAATACCTTAAGGAATGATAAGTTGTGTATTTCTATTTTCCTTATTAAAAACATTTTATCATTAAACTATAAATGTTGTAGAATATTTGGAAAACAGAGAAATATTAAGTAAGAAAATTTAAAAGTACTCCTGATCATATTATCTAGAAGTATAATTATTTGATGGATTTCCTTCTGGCCTTTTCTATTCATATATTTTTTCATAAAATTTAATTATTGCATTATATTGTGTAACAATAGCTGACATTTTCTGAGTGCTTATTTCATAGAAGTCAGTGAGCTAAGAGCTTTACATGTATTACATATTTAATGCTTACAGCAATCTAGGAGGCAGTTATTTGCCAACAGTGAATCTGAGAGTTACATTTGCTCAATGTCAAAAATTTGGAAACTTGAGACTTCTAATTTGGACAGGGTGACATAGACCTGTTTCTCCCTTCTCCTCTTCTCAACTAAATACAATGATAAACCCTGGAAATAATGCAAGAAACAAAGGAGAAGAACTCTGAAGGTGATAGGAAGAAGTCAAGGTGGTTCAGAACCTCAGGAGTAGAGGACCAGTATAGTGACAGGGCATCTCACATTTCCTCACCCAACAGAAGAGGCAGACCTAGTGTTTCTTGACCTTTGAACTAGCACCCAAGACAGCCCAGAGGCTGTCCTCCCTTCCTTTCTTGCCAGTCCTGAGGTAGTCCTTCCTAGTGAGAGACACCTGGGCTTCTGGGAAGTACCTCTTAGAGGGATATTGCCACAGCAAATAGCCCAGCCATGAAGCCATTTTGTCCCCATGGACGTGAGACTACCCTCTCCGGCCCAAAGACATAGAGTTGGCCAGGGAAACCTCTTTGGGCCTGAGCACCACCACCCCTTCTTCTGAGAGACACTAGGAGTCAGCCCTGGGGAAATCCGTGTACCCGCCCCTCAGGTAGCATCAGCCGGGACCAAGGGGAACCTCATCGCCAGCAAATGAATGAAGCAGACCAAAGACCCCTGCAAGGCTCTCAAAATTAGGCTGTCATGGGAACTATAGTCCACAAAAGTAGACTGGGACCTGCATGCTCAACCTAAACAGGGTGACTGCCTAGACAGAAAATCAACAAGGATACAGGAAGTCTGAACAATGCTATCAACCAATAGGACTTAATTGACATTTCTAGAGCACTCTACCCAACAGAATGCATAGTCTTCTCAAGAGTTCATGGGACATCTGCCAAGATAGAGCACATCTAGTGCCATAGGGCAGACCTCAGCACTTTTCAAACAATTGAGCTCATGCAGAGTGCACCCTTTGGTCACAGTGGAGCCTAAACTAGGAATCAATGACAGAAAAAAACAGGAAAATCTCCACATAGTTGAAAATGAACAACACACTTCCACATAACATATGGGTCAAAAACGAGGCCTTCTGGGAAATAAAAATACACAAGTCTGACTGAAAATGAAAACATCAAAATACGGGGGATGCAGGTAAAAGCAGTTCTGAGAGTAAAACTTAAAGTACTAAATGCTTACGTTAAAAACGAATGTTTTCAAATCAGTAATCTAAATTCCTACCTCAAGAAAGTAGGAAAAGAAGAACAAAATTAGGCAAAGAAGAACCCACAACAAGCAGAAGGAAGGAAATAATGAAAAGCAGAAGTCAATGAAATTGAAAATAGGTAACAGTAGAGAAAATCAGTGTAGCAAAAAACTTTCTTTGGAAAAAAATCAATAAAATTGATAAATCTGTAGTAAAACATAAAAAAGTGAGTAGACACAAATCACTAATATCAAGAATGAAATGGGGCAACAGTACAGATCCTGAAGCCACTAAGGAAATAGTAAGGGACAACATTACAATCATAAATTTTCCAACTAAGAAATGGGAACAATTTATCAAAAATTACAAACTTCTAATACTCAACCAAGATGTAATAGATAACCTGAAGAGTCCTCTCAACATTAAGGAAAATGATACAGGGTAGTGGTTGTGGTTACAAGAGGGTGAGACCAGGGATCCTTGTGGTGATGGAAGTTGTTCAATATATCTGCATGGTGATGGACTCATGAACACACACATGTGCTAAATTTTTATGGAATTAAGTACAAACATACACAATTGAGTACAAGTCAAACTGTGGAAATCTGGGTAAGATAAGTAGATTATATCCATGTCAAATCCTGGTCCCAATATTGTGCTAAGGTTTACAAAATGTTACCACTGGGGATAACTGAGTAAAGGGTGCTTAGAATCTCTCTGTATTATTTCTTACAAGTGTATGTGAATCTATAACTTTGTCAGTAAAATTTTCCATTCATAAAAGACAGCTAGCAACTTGT